CTCTCCATGGCATGGGGGTCGGACTAGATGATCTTTAATATCCCTTCCAACACAAACCATTCCATGATTCTATGATTCCATTGCAGTAACAAGTGTAGTAATACTCTGGATTGTGCAGCATTCATCTGGCTCAGAAAGGAGTAATTTTTTGCTTTGTTTTCCATTTTATCGTCCAGTTGTGAAGTTAAACTTAAGTCTGACTTCTTTTTTCCACAGTATTACATCATCAAAATGAAAATATTAAACATAAAATCGCTAAGGACTTTTAATTATCCTTTACAAGCATTCTGTTTTACAAAATACATTAAGATTAAAAAATCAAAGTATATTGAAGATAAAATGTGTAAGGCAACCATAATATTTTGTACAGCAAAAGCCAAATGTTTTTAATTTCCCCAAGAAATACAATAGAAAATGAAGTGATATATGCTCTACAACATTCCTTTTTAGGTTGGTGTACTGAGGATGTTGTGCTGAAATATGAAAATACTAATACTATTTTACTAGCAACCAAACACCTGATGATAAAAACAAAAGAGCAGGTTTTTTTCAGGTGAGGGAAGAGAGGGAGAAGAATGGTAACACACACAACTGTATCACTAGTCTTAAGCCTTAATTCCTATGAGATGAGAAGCAAATGCAATAAAACAAATAGCCCTCTACAGTGTAAAAATAATACTTAAAGTGGCTTTTCAAGACACTGATTTTTTTATTACTCCCTTGTAACATCTACTTAAACCATGTAAATCATTCCCTGATCACCTTATGACTCTACTAGCTCTCCTTAGGTCTGTGTGACTTTTACTCCAGGTCACCCTGCTAATTTCCATTCCTCACTTCAGCCTTCATGTGTGCAGCTCTTTCCAGTATGTCTGTCTCTTAGGAACAGAGGGTCATATCTAGCTTCCATTACAACAAAGTGCCATAGTTATTGGGTTAAAATAATTCTTCAGAAGAAAAATATTTATCATAGTGCCTTTCAATTTACTCTTAGTAGTGTTCTTGGAAAGTCCCTGAGATTTCCATGCTAAAATTTTACAGTGACATAGATAATGCAAGAATCATTTGACTATATTATGGAAAAGAAGTCTAATTTTCACTTAGATTGTTCTATTAGTCAAAATTATTATGTTGTTTGGAAGAGTTCTGGAAGATCATTTATGCATGATAATTTGATTATTTGGTTTAAATGACAACATTCAAAAATTATGAAAGCAGATGATATGCAATTTTCAAATGAAGGGTGTATTTTAGAAATGTGCTTTTGTATATCTCTCAGATCTGGATGGGTTCTACATACAGCACATATTAAAAATGCATTAGGGAAATCAGTGAGAGTTAAGCAATTAATATCTTGACAATTTGTGCAAAAGTTTCCATAAAACAGTAGTTATATTCTGTAAGCTATGGGAATATAGCTCTACCTATATCAGTATAATGGAAAGAAATCAACATATTCTGTATGTGTTTTAGATCTTGCCGTGTCCTGGAAAATGCTATTAAAAATGTGTTGTGGTTTGAGGCTTGGAATGGGGGCGTGACCTTCCAGCAACTGGGAGGACCCCGGGTGGGGGTGAACCATTGTATTCCCTCCCCTTCCCACACACACTCTGATAAGAGGCAGGGAGTGGGTTCTAATTTCACTCCTGCCTTGGAGCTCAGAGAGGGAAGTTGTCCTTTCACTCCGTGGGACCCTGGAACCATTTCTGAGGGTTTTGTATATTTTATTTTTTTTGTATTATTCCCCTAATCTTTGTATATATTATTTTCCTTACCTCCCTTTTTCGTTTTCTGTTCCTTGTTAAACTATATTCTTCATTTTTTTTCCAAAGTGTCTCTCTCTCTCTCTCAGGGGGGGAGAGGCGAGTACATAGTTCTGTTCTGTGTGGGTCCTGCCCTGAACCCCTTTTTACACAGAACCAGGACAAAATGTTAGCACTGGAGTCCATAACGGCCTCAGCCTCGACAAGGACAGCAAAACCCAATTACCTGATCTTCCAATTTGTATTTTGTGGAGCCTTATGAATAAGTTGAGCACTATGCTGACCCTCTAAGGTCACCCTGTGGCTAAAGGATTTCAAAGGACAGTGGAGCAAGTGCAGACCCATAACGCAATCTCATTCTGTAGAACCACTGTTCTGAACCAGCTGTTCAGATAATGGCGGCCTTGAGGTCATAGAAGCGGCTGTGGAAGCCACCACAATTTGAATTATTTCTCTCTCTCCCCTCAAGGCATCTCCCCAGCACAGAGTTACTTGAGTTAAGAGTCACCACTCCAGGCAAGTAGCACCTGAGAAGAGTAACCATCTTGTAGAAAACCAAAGCAGCACGGTTTCTGTGTTTGCATCAAACAACCCTGCTTGTTTAAAGCAGTTAAGCCTTATGCTCACCATGTGTAGTTATGGGCAGAGATGATGAATACTTGGCCTTTGTGCACTGTTAGTCCAATGTACCTCTTTCCTTTTGATAGATTAGGAATTTTTTTCTGAATATTTAGAGACAATTTAAGTCAGACTTTTCAAGGCAGGAAAAAAAAATTAAAAATAGCTTCAATTGCATCAGTGAAAAATTTGACCAGGGTTTTTTTTTAATCTTAAAAACTGGAAACAATTTAAAGCAATAAACTTCAGGCAAACTGACATACAGAATAGCTTAATATAACCTAAAACAGATTCCTCCATTTTCTCTTCCTCTATTTTCAATTTTCCACTTTTCACTTTGCGTTTTTCAATTGTTCTGTCTTATACATATGAGAATTCCCTTATTCTAGAAGTAATTCCATTACTAATCATATTCTAGAGAAACACAAAATATATAGACCTACTTCAGGTTATACAAATTAATAGGGAATGCTTGTGTTTGGATGAAGTGCAGGTGAAGTCCTAAGAGCTGTAGTATTCACACCCAGTACACCAGGTTTAGAGCTAATGTTTCCTTTAGTGCAAGGATTCCACATGTTGGTACAGGCAGTGGAGCTGTCACTGCTCCCACATCCTGGACTTTGATTTTTAACAGAAATTTTGAAAGGAAACTGGTACTACATAATATTTGGGATATTGTGCAAAGAAACTGGAGGAGGGGGGTGTCTATGTCCTCTTGTTGCATTTAAGACACCAGTAGCTCACTTCTATGAACACTGAGGCACAAGCTTGTCTGAGGGTTTTGGCTTACTTTAAGGAGAAAACAAAAAAAATAACCCCAGAGGTTTGTTTCTACATCTGTGAAGAGCAAATCCCTGGCTCTGGTTTCATCACATTGTGGTGCTAATTATGAAAAAGACCAACAGGTTTTCTTAAGAACTTTTTATCGCTCTTGACTCTATCAGTAGCCGTGCTGAAAAAGAAAGGAAATTCCTTTCAGTTCTTTTCTGCAAGGAGGGCTAACAACTTTCATGTCTGATTAACAAATCCTATGCTTTTTTTTTTTTTTTCACCTGGCATTTAATGTATGCTTCCATTTGGCCAGAGAGCCTTTTTCATGTATGCTGAAAACAATAATCTGAATACATTTCATTCTCCAGGTGTAGTTTTCCACTTACTGTTTTTCCTCTGGAAAATTTATAAGGTTATATAAATAAATAATCCTCTACTGGGACTTTTGCTATATAATATACCATATTTTCTGATTACTAAGCAACAAATGCTCTCTAAGCATTTCTTAGCACATTTGACTATCCTTATTCAAGCTAATTAAATTGACCAAACCAGCAGGATGCTAACGAGACACAAAACTATTTCTCACATGTAAATGTTGTGTATCGAGGTTGTCTTTTATTATGTCTGTTGGCATGGTTCTCATGACTGTATGTCTTCATGTTCCAAGTTTCACAAGATCAAATATCTATACAATCCTGGAATTTTAACAGTATCCACATTTTCTACATCAGTAGGGTTTTAACTACTTATTCGAGCCACTAATAACTACTACCTATATTTATTTGTCAAATTGGGTTTTTTTATAGTATTGAACAATTTCTTTCCTGTTTTGACTCAAAGTTTTCTTATTAATTTTGTCTTTTAACAGTTACATTCAGAAGCGTCACAAAAAGCCTGACAGCTAGCTCACATTTCCCCTCTGCACCTAATATATCTTTCCATTTTATTTTTATTTTCTTTCATTAACGCAGTGGTGCAAATGAGGAAAATCATATTATAACCAATAAAAGTATAGTCATTATGCTCAGTATCTCAATTCTCTCAGTTCTTGATGTAATGTAAAGAGATGCTAATACTTTTATTTAAAAAGAAATATTTTCATCTTTCAGACTGATAAAGTTTTAAGGAAGTGTCCAGCCATAAATACAATATTGTCTCTGACAGAGTATATAAGTCTCCAAAACGACTTCCAGAGGCTCGAAGCACTCCACTCATCTTTTCTATAAAAGCACCCTTGATTAAGATAGGATTGTCTGTAGGAATTAAGGTGATTCAACTCGTGCCTAAGCTAATTTATCATAACCACTTGTATGATCTCCACCATAATTGAACAGAGGAGGAACTTCTATGGCAACTTACTGCTCACACAATTTTCAACAGGGAATTGAAACAGAAACTTTAGGTGGTGGGTCTAAAATATGTAAGGAGAGACAAAAGACATTAACTTCCCTTACAGTGGGACAGATTGTCACTGCCCAAGAAAGGGAAGTGGGAATGCCCCCACCAGAAGTTGGGCAGAAAAAACGTAACTCCATAAAACTCTTTTTATGTTTCTCTCATTCTGATTTCAAGACAAAACTACTGCAGGGATAGAGTTACATGGAGGTATATGAACTCTACATAGAGGTAGGATTTCCTTATCTTGGGATTTTTTCAGTTGCCCTGAAACGCATCTTTATTCCTATCCATTGTGTCCCCGCTAATACAAATAGGTATCATGCTGGCATTCAGCTAAGTAATTCATTTGTCATCCACAGATGGACAGGGGATTACATAGCTAAGAAATGAAATAAAAGCTAAATCCCTATGCTTGGTAAAGCTTTGGTTGTTTTCTCTTTCATTCAGGATTACCGAGTGAACATCTTTCTCCGTCAGAATTGGAACGATCCGCGCCTCGCGTACAGCGAATATCCAGATGACTCTTTAGACTTAGATCCATCCATGCTGGATTCAATTTGGAAACCTGATTTGTTCTTTGCTAATGAAAAAGGTGCCAACTTTCATGAAGTTACAACGGATAATAAGTTGTTGCGAATTTTCAAAAACGGAAATGTGCTTTATTCCATCAGGTGAGTCTCTAATGAGATGATTGTTTTTTTCTGATAGAAGCTCAAAAGTGTACCTATAAAATGATAATGTTTATCTTCAGTTGCTACTCAGGCAGCACTATCACTGAAGTAGTGATTTTTGAATACAGAACTTTATCATCATTCTTGTTCATTGTTAATACTAAAATAGAAAACGACTCCTCACTAAGCAGGCATCAGGAAGTGTCTTTCTTATTTTAAAGTCCAGATATTGAACCTAGATGAGCTAGGACACTTGCACAGAGCAAATAATCCTGGAGCATTATAATCTGATTTGGCCCGTGTATGAGATTCACATGCTGTAGCTTCCCATGTCATGACAATTTCTTTTTCACCTTTTTGGATATTGAAGTTGTTGTACTTCAATATGGAAGCATGACCTGTTTGAGGAAGCATGATATTTAAAGAATAGTTTACTTACTGCTGCAGTTGAAGAGAAAAGTGGAAAGTCAACTTTGAAAAGGTTTAAGAAGCTGTATGCAGCAATCCTAAGTATTAACAAAATAGTTAACCTACTTCTTTTCTCCTCACTTTCCTTTTATTAACATAGTCATTAGTAGGCATTTTACCACTGATTAAAAAAAATTATCTAATTAGAAACACATTAGATATAAGTATACTAACGTCCCATTAGATGTAACACAGATTTGTTATTAATAGTGACCTACCCATGCAAAACATCAAACTTTTCAAAATAAATATACCTCTTCTCCATTTAGTCTTTTGCTTTGCATGTTTTTATGACGCTTCATTGATAGATAATTGGACTTTCTGAAGAGATATAAGAAATCTGTGAGCAGCTTGTATACTAAGAGAGAAAGAAGAAGGTTGTGACTTGCATGGCTGTATCAGTGGCAAGGGACTCGCCTTCCTCCTTCCTCCCAGTCGAGCGGGCAGCATCTTTTCAAGCTCACACATGGAGAAAGTGTTTAGGTTTAAAATTCCTATGAGCATCTCAGATCCAAAAGGAGGTTAGTCTGCCAGTCTGGGAACATCATTCTGCAGTGTCACAACGTGTATTCTGTCACTAGAAACAGATGGAAAGCAAGTAAAAAGAATTCCTTCTCCAAGCCCAAGTAGAAAGTAGAGCTAAATCAATTACCTCCAGCCTGAGTCACCCTGAGAGGCACTGACAGTTGTTCCACTCTAATCAAATAACTCCCTCTCCTTGCCCTACACCCTCCAGACACATACAACACAGAGTATAGACACCACCATTCAGCTGAAGCAAGTTTGGATTGAACTGTCAACAGAACTCATATCAAGTTCATGGTCACATGAAATGGGGTGGAAAAACAAACATGAGAAATATTATAACATTAAATTGTAAAAGCAAACATTGGCTGTGATGAAAGCAGATGCTGTGTTTCTTGTGGAGCCAGAAAGTTTGTTGCCAACATGCAATTAAGAATTAATACCATTTCCAAAACAGATTTAAAATCATGTAATTGGCATCTAGTTGAGTTGTTTTGTGAGTTTGAGTCAGATAAGCTTTTGATGAGGGGAGACATGCTAATTGCTAACATGTTGATACCAAAAGAAAAAAAAAAAGCTTTCTCAATTTTCATTTTCCTTTGATTCCCTAATGTCTCCTTCTCCCTTAACTGCATTAGAACAATTCAGATGAGAAGACAATGAGAAGGTTCCAGTTCCCAATTCAATGAATACTTATAATAAAATATTAAAACATTTACTGAAGCAGAAAACACAGGTGCCTCTTCTCCAAAATGACTTGCTGTGTTACTGGTACACTCGTCAGATTTTGTATTTCGATCCATTTTTAACAGCATGGCAACAGGACCTGGGTCTGAGTTCCCTCCTCAGACTCTCATCCTACAGAAGTTATAGCAACAAAGAATCAAGAAGCTTTGGAGCAGGCAAAGGTAGGGTAAAAGAAATAGGCATCCATATTTGCCACATACTGCTCTCTTTCCTATATCAAAAACAGGGGAATGAATGGAGGATTAGAGCACAACCATGTTAGAAAAGCTTTATATGTGTAAAGGAATCGGAACTCAAGCTCCTCATGTTTTTGGAAAACATTCTATCAACTGAACTGATAAATAAAAATGGGGCAAAATTTTCACACAAGGTACTTTCTAACAAGAAGAAAGGTGCCATCATGACCCTGAATGATAAATGGATACCTAAACATGGTCAAGTGAGGGAAAACGTGCCTTTACCTCTTATATTCTTTTTCCTCATTCCTCTGAGAAGTATCACTCTAATTATAAGTTATTGTATTCATATAAAATGTAGAAAACCCTCTTTTGCCTAGAGGTTGCAAAGTATTTCACAGGAAGTATCAGGACTGGCATGAAATACAGCTGCAGTTCAAAATTACAGGCACATTTCAGTCCACCATCAATACCATAAAATGTTATCTGAAACCTTTGTGCTGACAATTTAAGCACCTTCTTTTAGGACAATAACATATAAATTACTTTGCCACCATAATTTGCAGCTGACATCTGTGATGAAATTCTTGCAAATCCGGGTAAATTTTATACCAAGGGTTTGAAATATTTGTAACAGCACAATAATTCTACTGTGGCACAAAAAGGCACGTTGTTTTTGCCTTCCCTCAGAGTTATTATAAAGTTAAGCAATCTGACTGAAAAATTCAGTTTTCTGAAGGAGTATAATTTTTTTTTCCCCCATTTTCATACTAGGCTAAGTGAGTGAAATGGGCTCAGCTAATACACATCTGTTTTGAGAGTTTTCTTAATGACAAAAATAATATTCTTCTGTTTCTAATGACATACAGTGTTTTCATGCATTCTTCCTGTGCAGTTCTATGGCATTTTTGTTGCATATTTTTAATTTTTTTGTGTGTTCTTTCAGATTGACTTTAATACTGTCCTGTCCGATGGATCTCAAAAATTTTCCAATGGATGTGCAAACATGTATAATGCAGCTGGAAAGCTGTAAGTTTGCGTGTTGTATTATCCTATAAATACTTTTGTAGGGATTACAACAGCTATGCAGGAGGTAAAAAAGACCACTTGTAGTAGTACAAGGACAAATGTTCAAAATAGAATCCTCTGTTTCACCAAAAGCATCTGTGAAACACACATGATTTTCAAAGGAAGAGGTCCTTTCATTCTTAACTTGTACTGAAAATCAACAGTTTTGTGGAAATCTCTAGTAACTACTAAATTAAAATACCCAATGCCAGTTTACCTTTATGCAAAATTTATGCATATGGGAATGCACCATTTAGTCTTTGTGTTCACACATACATGGGGATAGTAGTGTGGGAGAGCATAAAGAAAACATGAGAATAACTTAAGGAAATTATTTATGTGAATATCCTGAAATCTATAACTCAATGTCCTTAAAGACTGGAAACCAGATGACATATTGAGCCCCTGCTCTTCAGATTCCTGCCCTAGTTCTTCAGCTCCTGTTACAGCTGCAGGTAGCATATAGCTGTATAGCTATATATGTCTGTAGACAAGTAGTAAGCACCCATCTTAATGTCAGATCTAGATTTGAAGTTTCAGGATCAATAAGTAAAAGAACCCAGAAAATAATTTTCTGCATGTGTGAATATAAGAGATAATTTGAAATATAGATCAGAAACACAACATAATTTGATTAAAGGTTAGTTTGGGGGTTTTTTTCTTCTTTTACTGAATCAAAGTACCATCTAAGAGAAGGGGGAGATAATTATCTATCAGTTCATATGTCGTGACTGCTTGTTGTAGGGATAATAGTGTGTTTTTACAAAAAAAAAATAATTACAGGATGAATATGAAAGCCAGATCTATCTTTCATTACAACAGACAGATGGTAATAGCATAAAGCAGCCTTTCAATATGAGGGCAATGGCTGAATCTGACAGCAGAAATTTTCTTGACCCAAATTAAAAGATAGCTATTTGCTGCAAATATCAAGGAATGTAGGGCAGTGTTACATATTCAGCATTTAAGCAAAACTCCACGGTCAACTCAAGTGAATAATCCTACTAATAACTTATGCCACCTTTATAATTAATGTGACTGAATTAAAGGGTAATATGAGGCAGCTGTATCAGAGTACACACAGATATAGTCACAGTATACAATTATGCTTCAAAGTATCATAATGTCTGAACAATATAAAGTTATATTTTTAAAAAAAAAAAAAAAGAACACGTTTGAAAAGTCATTAAATTCTTACTTCAACAGCTTCATAAAACTCAGGTATACTTTTCATCTCTTTCAGCCCTTGTGAATACAGGTCATACAACAACTGAGAATTCTTGAAAAAACAGGCATCTGTTTTGCTTTATAGAAACCTTGCACGAACTCATAATTCCCACAAACTACACCGTAGGGAACCAATACTTTTTAGTTGAAGACAACTAATTAGTTGAAGAGAACTAGCTCTGCTGTATTTTCCAGCAGAATATTTTTCACTTTCAGTCTTGCTTTTAATCAGTCAGTTCCGTGGGAGTACATTCCCTGCTGCAAATTCACATAGATAAAGGTAAGGTTCACAAAAGAAGAGCTGAACAAAATACAAATGAGTGCTTCAAAATCTAGTTACAGAGAAAGATCAAATTTGATTTCATAAAGAAGTTACAAGTAATAAAGCTTTCCCTATATTGCCTTCTCTAATTCTATTTTAGTGGTAACTCTAGACAGTGAAAAAAGAGAACTATGAGCAAAGTATCAGTCCTGAGGCAGAAAATTTCACAGCCTGTGGGAGTTCTGGCTATACTTACAAGTCTGATAGCAAAATAACCAGTTATGGTGGCAAGAACAAAACAGCAGTCCCCTGAAATAGCTTTCAGAAAGATTGAAAGAAGGTAGGCACACAGTGACAATTTCTGGGTCCCCAGACCTTTGAGAGACAAAATTCACCTGCTCAAAAACAGTTTCTCTATACAGGAAGCACACGAAGGGAAACAGACAACTTGGAGGAGTTACAAAAAATATCTGTGTTATGGATGGGAGAGTAACTAAGTAAAAAAGATGTTTTCTGTGACTCTTAACTCTGAACAATTTAAGAACTTAGGAAAAGGTGAGCAGAAACATTCAAATTCCAGAGTCTTTGGCTAATAACAGGCATACAGTTCTCTTTACAATTATAGAACAAAAAAGGGGGATGAGTGCATTTAGCAATTTCCCAGGCTTCATATCAAACCTCCTGAGGTAAGAACTGACATAACTCTGAGAGCTTGAATCCATCCAAGCACCTCTAACTTCTAGACCACAGCATCATATTCTGCTGTGCCTGTCTGCATTATATATTTTGGTGCACAGCGAGACAACTTCAACATGGGGATCAAAGAACTAACCCATAATAAATGGTTATTGAACTGTCTGGGGAAGTGTAAGACGTGGAGTTTCAAAACTGAGAACATAGTCCTCTCATGTCCTGGGGAAATGTCGCCTCCCTCTCTACTCTGCCCTAGTGAGGCCACATCTGGAGTGCTGTGTCAAGCTCTGGGCTCCCCAGTTCAAGAGACACAGGGAAGTACTAGGCAGAGTCCAACAGAGGACTCCAAAGATGACTAAGGGACTGGAGTATCTCTTTTACAGAGAAAGATTGTGAGACCTGGGTCTGTTTGACCTGGAGAAGAGAATGTCTTATCAATATCTAAAGGTTGGCTGTCAAGAGGATAGGGCCGGTCTCTGTTCAGTGGTACTCAGAGACAGGACATGGGGCAATGAGCATGAACTGAACACAGGAAATTCCACTTAAATATAAGGTGAAACTTCTTTACTTTGAGGGTGACACAGCACTGAAACAGGCTGCTCAGAGAGGTTCTGAAGTCTCCTTCTCTGAAGACTTTCAGAATCTGCCTGGACATGTGTCTGTGCCCCCTGTTCTAGACAAACCTGCTCTGATGGGGGTCGGTCTAGATGATCTCCAGAGGTCCTTCCCAACCCCTACTATTCTGTGATTCTGTGAAATGATCTGATCATCAGGCTGTGTTACAAAAACCAATGGAAGCCAATGGCGCAAGGAGCAAGGCAGCGCCAGCCATGCTTCCAGACGTTTCTTTTTAAAGTGGTGATCCATTGCTGGCTGCTCCACTGCGTGGCAAATTTGGTATGTGGGACATTGTACCACTATGAGTTTTCAAGGCCCATTTATGTCTCAGTTTCTTTAAATTGTAATCTGATCTTGCAAGCCATGCTCCTGCATATGTCACTAAGCAAATGAGTCTGTTTCTAACACATCATCATTTTCTTACTCATCTGACCACCAGGTTTCAAAGAAAGGCTGACAGATTTTACTTCTGTTATAAAATAATAATTTTGTTTAGTACTAGATACTTTCCTCCCATAATGATAGTGCTCCTTCAGCACAGAAAGTGCTAAGAAAAACTCATGTGTAGCTTTTCTGTATTTTAAATTAATATTTTAAATTATATTTTTAGCCAGCTCATGTATAATTTTTTCCAAGGTCAGTCTAAGCAGCTGGATTTGCCCCTGGTTAAAGTACTTCACTTAAATATTTTTCAAGCACTTCAAGACATAAGTGAAAATGTCTTCTAATTTTGAAGGTTTTATTTTACTAAATGATTTCTCAACAACTAGAATGAGCTGGTTTTGTATCTTCAGAAGGAAAGAAATGAAAATACACATGTGAAATAATCCCTTCATACATTTCTGTGCCTTACACTAGGGCAGCCTATAGGCATGTGAGATAATTTTAGTTTTATTCTGCTTGAATAAGATACAAAGAAATGTCAGCTAGATAGGTATTTTTTTCTGAGGCCTATCTCTCAAGAAAAAATGTTTTTCTTTCATGTGCTAGAGCTTGTTGTCTCTTATCTCAACAGCATTTGTTTGTTCATATATTACAATCATAACTTTGTGACATATGTAGTATATTTCAGCCTCTGCTCACTTCCTAATTTTGTTTTGGTGCTTATTGTCTCCCAATAATTTAAACAATGGTGCTTTTTTCCCCTTTTTGATTTATAGAGGCTTTTTAGTCTCCCTAAGCCATCACCCTCCAGTCTTTTGGAGTTTAGAGAAAATTTGCTCTGTACTGCATGATGCCGTTACCTGAATTGCACAACTTTGTTCAGCTCATTCTCCAAAAAGAGATTGTGCAAATAGAAAGGTCTGTAACCAGGCTAGAGCAGTACCAGCTCCTGGATTACAGAAAATGTGTGTGCTCTTCCTTTCCCACAACAGCACAAAAACACCATCAGAAATACAACAGAACTGTGGTGCATTTCTTATCTGCCAGGGACCCTCGGGTGTCTGCCTCAGTGACAGTGATGATGGACAGGCTAGCTCAATGCCTGTCTGTGCCTGAGTGTGTGGAAACCATTCTTCTCTCCTTCCCTATTTCAGCAGCACAAAATTCAACAACTTATCCTATGGCTTCTACTCTGCAGAGGGGTGACAGAGCCCACAGTGTGTATCTGAATTGAGACCTGACATGCAACCACAAAGAGCTAGATATTTGTCATCTGCAGCTCCTGACCAATCTAGGATGAAAGGGCAATTGTGGGCAGAGCCCACAGAAACTAATATTAAAGTGACAGCTGTAAATCTGTAGGCTTCAGTAAGAAATGTTAGGTTTGAAAGATGTGGTAAAACTCTGGGCCTGTAATTCAGGCTAAGATAGATAAACCTGGAACTCCTAAGGGGGAAATTCCATCAGGATGACTTTCAGGGCAGTGCAAGGGGCAGACCCTTTCCAAAGCAGCTCAGAAGCACACAGAAAAAAAATCCTGCTCTCTTGGAGCTCCAGCGTAAAGGTAGCCTTGAAATGCATCACAGTGGATTTTTGAATATAACATTTGTAGTGCTTAATGTATATTAAAAGAACTTATTCTAACCTCAAGCCAAACCCAGATAACCCAGATTTGTTAACTCTGTCTTATCGTCCCCCTGGAAGGGAAGATGGCATTACTGAATCA